ACATCTATAAGCCCTTGATCACTATGCAAGAACCGTATAATTTGTTTTGCAACATACACACTGAGAGATCACTTCTGATAAGTGCACATGAAGGAATACTATCTCTAAATAAACCAATACGGTATGTACAAATGGCAGATTTTCACAAAATTTGCCCAGAACTAACCAACAAAAAAAAACAAACAAATGTAAAAAAAGTGTCTTCTCCAAAAAAAATACCTGGCCTGTTTCCAACAAAACGATCCCCCTTCCCTTCAGTTGCCACACTGTGCAAACGAATGTATGTATTAATATCATTGTGGATCTATTTTTACCATGAAAATATATAATTATTAAAATTAGACATGCGTACAGTATATCTGGTACATATACATGTACATGGAGTGTAGATCACTGACCTGAGCATTCAATAGATTATACAGTTAAAACAATCAAATTAACTACAAAACTATGACAAAAATATGACACTATTGATCAGGTCAATCAGTGAGTTAACATACTTCTGCAAATCTGAGTTCTTCTTTCCAGTCACAGCCTGCATCTCTATAGAAACAGGAAGTTACGATGGCTAGTATCTCCCTTCTAAAGTGCAGGTCAGCAAAGCACTGTGAGTAGGAAATAAATAAAATTAATATAGATTTAGCCAAGCCATCAAAGTTGAGAGTATTTAATACTTGTTTTACTAGACTAGTACTAGATTCAAAATTAAGATCATGGTTTCCAGGGGAAAAAAGCAAATGACAACCAAGCTAGAAAAAGAAAATATCAATTGAAATAAATCAAACACCAGACTTGTGTGATGGAAGAATATACTCTGATGGTATACAATTCTCAACAACAGATAAGGCATTTCTAGCTTTCTTATTGGTTCACTGAATGTTGGTTTCCAGCCCATCTTATTTTTGAAGTTTCTTCTTAAACAAATTCACTCGCTTCTCTAACTGACAATTTTTTAAAAAATATGAAATCTGTTATTACTGCTAGTTTACTGTAACTTTATAAAGAACTACTCTCTCAAAACTACTTGCAGGTACCATGCAATGCAATTCAACTGTGTACATGTACTACTAGTAACAGTAGCTTAAACTTCCATAAGTAGAAAAGTGTAAACTTGATATGTCAGCAACCCCAGTCAAAGAATTTTATGCAACCTTCTGACTCATTCATCTCCTTTTAACAAACTGCCACATATTTTTCCCACAAGTAGCTGCAGAAACAATGACCCACCAGGGTCCTATATGCATTTTTTTCATTTCCTAATGCTATAAGTGTAGGGGGCTTTGATTGCTTTGAAAACAAGGTGAATCTTCTGAGAACATAAAATCGGCATCTTTTCAAATGAAAGGTTCTGTACAAAACTAGAGAGGTAACTACAGTAGCAAAGAAAGCATGACTGACAAGTTTTGAGTGTCATCCAATATCTTACCAACTGCTGTTCCAAAGCTGTATTGCAGTGCTCATATAAACAAAGAGGATTTAAATGCCTAAAGAATAGAAAAAAAAAACATATATAGAAACAGTCAAGGGTTTTTTAATAATCATTTAAAAGCAATTTACTCCTTCAAAGTGTTTTATAAGACAGAAAAGATATAATCAAATTTTGATGACAGCAGAGGAATAAGTTAGTGCAGTGAAGTACAAGTAGAAAGGTCAGTTTTCAACACTTTGAACTTTCAACAACTAATGAGATAAATAAATTAACTACAGAGCTAACTGAAGATACATTGGAAATAACAAGAAAAGGTGCCACTAATTAAGCTTTATACACGTACATTAAATATTGAGATCTATTTTAATTAGTTAACAATACAACAACTTACAAATAATTTTATCTGACCTGAGAAAGATATAAGAATACTGATACTTGACTGGGTGATCTTTAGGCTTTTTGAAGTCATCTCCAAATGTTTTCTTGTAGGTCAGATAAAACTGATTTTTTGTTTTTAACATGAATGACTGCCCAAAGAGTACAGATCTTGTAACTGTTGAATACTTACGGTGCATGTTCAAAAATCCTGTTGATACATGGTTCGCAATAGTGATGGCCACAGGGAGTCTGCATAGCATCTCGCAGTACATAACCACAGGATTTACAAATGTATGCAGGACTAATTTGTACAAACTCTGCATACGGAATGTTGTGTCCAACTTGCATTTTAACAGTACCTACCAATGTAGAAGAACTGCAAATTAATCTTAGTGGCAATCAATGTACAGTTTGTAAGTTAGCAGAGTCCATGTTACAGTTTGCAAGCTTGATTTTGGCTCACACAATGGAGAAAAAAGTGCCAAGGCCAAAACCACTACTTACACCCAAGAGCACGCACTCCATTTCATAGATGGCATATTAAAGAAAGCTTGCACCAAAACTTTGAAGTAATTATCATAGAAAGAATTATTTCCAGCTTATGTCTACTGAAGAGTGTAATTCCCACCAAGAAGATAAGAATTTACCTTTTAAAAATTTAACAGAAAACCTATTGTAGGACAAAGAATGGCCTGAAATGTTGGTCATCTCCTGCCCCCAGCATAATCCCTAGGCAAGAGATGCCAGGAGTCTGGGCATTATACTGTACCTAATATGTCAAGTTTTATCCATTGATTGATAACATTGATAACACTTAAAGGGCCCTAGTCAGCTACACCTTTGTTTTTGTTTACATGCAAGAGTTTGGCTATTGTATTTTATTCCGACCATTTCCAAACAAAGGGAATCAGTGTGAAACTACCAATTTACAGTTTGCTGCACCATGCAATATCAACAGTTTCAATGGCATCGAAAATGGCGGATGCTGACCAAGGTCCTTTAATTTCAATTTATCGATTGATGTAGATTTATCGAAAAGTTTTTCGTTATCGATTTTTATCGATTGACTACCCCGGGGAAACAGCGCATCACGCATTCGGCATTCGACTTTCTGCATTCTATGTTCGGCGTTCTGCAAAATACGTACCCTGCCGGTTGTTATGCCACACGAATGAAAACAATATTAAGCATCTCGTTACTCTTGCCGTTTGTNTACAAACTCTGCATAGGGAATGTTATATCCAACTTGCATTTCAACAGTACCTGCCAATGTAGAAGAACTATTAATTAATCTCATGACTAACTGAGCTCACACTTGCAAAAACAACTTGGAAAATTTCTTGCATGTATCATGCTTTAATGTCTTGCTTGATTTCAACCTTGAACTGAGTTTAAATACTTTAAAGCTTTGAGAAAATGTATAGGTTGATGGGGTCTTCTTTCAAAGTGCCTGCGTAAAACCCCAGTTTCCAAACAATGTCAATCCACCTACTTTGATACCTAAAATCTTATAAAAAAAAACAATACTTCAGTGATGGTAACAAATCACTTTAGATAGAACAGTAATGATTTTTTACTTGTGTCATCTTGTATATATCATGGAATCGGTTTTATCCCAATTATTCAATACTCCAAGGGAAGCAAGCATTGGTTTTAAAATTCAGGTAGTGAAAATCAAACATTGCGTTGTCTGACACAGAAACTTACCAAGAAAGATGATAAATAAATGCGATGAAATTGGTAAATTGATAACTTTGAAACTTCACCATCATGTGAGTATCAAGTTTTATCCATTGATTGATAACATTGATAACACTTTAAGGGCCCTAGTCAGCTACACCTTTGTTTTTGTTTACATGCAAGAGTTTGGCTATTGTACTTTATTCCGACCATTTCCAAACAAAGGGAATCAGTGTGAAACTACTAATTTACAGTTTGCGGCACCATGCAATATCAACAGTTTCAATGGCATCGAAAATGGCGGAGGCTGACTAAGTTCCTTTAATTTCAATTTATCGATTGATATAGATTTATCGAATAGTTTTTCGATATCGATTTTTATCGATTGACTACCCCGAGAAACAGTGCATCACGCATTCGGCGTTCGAATTTCTGCATTCTATGTTCGGCGTTCTGCAAAATACGTACCCTGCCGGTTGTTATACCACACGAATGAAAACAGTATTAAGCATCTCGTTACTCTTGCTTGTTTGTTTTTCTTAACTGATTCATCCATGGTGAAAGAAAAACCGTTAAAACGATTAACGTAATAGTAACCGATCTATATACACAACAATATGGCGCGTGGGCGCGAACTTGAGCAAACAAAAGTTGACTCCGAACAAAAGCTTAATTAAATATTTTGTTCTCTCTTTCGTAATTGTTAATTGAACCTTTCTCTTCTGCAAAAGTGATTTTCAGTTCTCAAAATTGATATAAAAAGGGGCGGCAGAATATCGGGTATTTTAAGTCTCCTTTACAGTCATTCCTGGGTTCCCGAATACTCTCAAATTTTTCTATCGACCAACCTGCAGAAGCGATCTTTCCAATCGCATTACAGGCGTTCACTCAACAATTTTAGAGAAAGTCTGTAAAGAAGAAATCTTATATACAAAATAAATTAAACAAGTCTACTCACCTAGCTATAATACTAAGTTCGCTCTAACCATGTAATCTACAAAATGGCGGCGATTGATGTTTGATCGTCTGGGGGACCGTCTGGGGAAAAATTAACGCCCGGGCATGTGGGGGGTATTCAGCGGGCATGCTTTTAAATAACAAATATGTTGTGTAAGGAGGAATAAAACACAAATAGCGGTGATAAACATATTAAACTTACGCATTTTAATAACTTGACGTTTCGTATGCTACGCAACATACATTTTCAAAAGT